TGCTTCGGATTTCTGTCTCCTGCACCCCACGTTCTCAGCCAGCGGGACCAGGGTGGTGTGGACTGGGGGTGGAGCTGTTCCTTGTACCCACTGCCCCACCTGCCCCCTCTAGCCCTGCCCCAGCAAGCGGGGAGAGATGAGAACTACCGACTAGAGACCCAGAAAGGTGAGGTTGCCCTCCCCCTCCCCGGCGCGGGGATCCTCAAAACCAGTAATCCTCGTGTTGGTGCCAGGAGAGGCTCCAAGGTGGGGAAACTGAGGCTTAGAAAAGGACATTGGCCAAGGTCACCAGGCAGGGCCAAGCACAGATCTGCAGGAGACTCTACTGGCCTGTGGCTGACACCAGCAGGTGAATGGATCCCACACTGGGCTCTAGTCCCGGGGTCCTTCCTGAGCCGTTGCCACTCAGCTTGCAGAGCAGGAGTCAAGGCCTGTCTCATGTCCCCAGGGACAGTGCGAAGGAGACGGATGACCCAGAGCCTGTTGGTCACGTGGCTGCAGGTTAGACCTTTTTCAGATCTTGAACATGTGTGCTACGGGGGTGGGAGCAAGTGTCTGAGGGGCAGCATGTGCATGTGTTTATCTTTATCCTCCGTCGAGGACGCTGTGTACATGCGCTTTCAAACCCACATGCAGATCTGTCTGAAATGTGCATGACCGGCTCCATGTGCCAGGACTGTGAACTGGCAGGGAAGGGCATAAGGCCAGAGGCAGATGTGGGCAGGTGTGTAGGCCCTTGAGCTGGGAGTGGCATGTATACATGAGCACAGATGTGTGTACATGTACAATTATGGGATATGATGACCCTCTGGCCTGGGTGGGCCTCAGCTGGCCTGTCTCATTCCTGGAACCCCCACCTGAACTATCTCCCTGCCCTCTTGGGTCCAATCAGCCAAAGGCCCCAGCAGGAAATCGGATTGCCACAGCTCTGCCCGGCCACGCCCTTCCCAAGCTGATTACATTCTTCTGCTTGTTTCTGCTTTTGTTGATGATTAATCATAGCCCTGACTTGGGCCGGGAGAGGGGGCTTAGTGAGAGACACCAGCCCCAGCCACCCTGGGCCAGGGCAGGCCTGAACCTTTCAGCACTGGGACATGCTCTGAATCTCTCATAGGCATATGAAACCTGTAGAGAAGCCCAACAAACTCCAGCTGTCATCTGAATGTCTGCCCCAGGCCTCTGCCTGTTTGTTGCCTGTACAAACCTGTGGTTGGAGTTGTAAAAACTCCCAGAAAAACCTTGGACGCTCTGCTTGCCTGCTTGCCGGTCCACCAAGTCAGCCGATCCTTGTGCTCCTTTCGGATTTCTAATGGAGCAGAGCTATGATGCAGGAAGAATCGGCCACCAACCCAGCAGACCCTGGGCTCCGGCATCTAACCCCTTCCTTCAATGGGACTTTAGTCATGTCCCTTGACCTCCCAGGGTCTCAGTTTCCCCAAATGTGAGGTAAAGGTGGCAATACTACCTCTCAGGCAGAGGTGAGAATAAAGTGATTTAATGTGAATGATTCCTGGTGATGCTCCCCAAATCTCTTGGGGATTTCTCATCAGCATGAAAATCCCCCCATGGAAATACGAACTAATAACCAGTGTCAAGCCTTGATTGAGGGGTTATCTGAAAGCACCTCACTTGCTAAGCCATCCCAGACAGTTTGCTATTGGGCTAAGGGTAGAGGATTGGAGCCTGTGGGGCTGACAGGAAATACACCTCTTGGTGCTTTCTTGGAGGCTACCACAGTGAGACAAGGTAGCTCTCTCCAGTTCCCTGAGCCCCTGGCCTTGCTGCCCAGTCAGGGAAATCTCAAAAGAAAAGAGAAAGGTATCAAGAACAAATCACGTGGACATCCTCCACACAGCCAGGCCCTGTGAGTCTGTGCCGAAGATGCAGGTGCCCGTACACACAGGAGCTGACCCCAAGACATTGGCCTTGGTCTGCATCCAAGGGGTCAAACTGTCCAGTCATGTGACCAGGGTACTCCCCAGAACAGGCATCCTCCAAGTCAAAGTGGCAGGCACTCTGGGATGACAGCTTTAGCATCATAGGTACCACACTCTTCTGGGCAATCTTTGACATTTCAGTCCCCTAGTGTCTCTACTCTCCCCTGATACAAAGCCACACCCCCAGGACACTCTAGCTGCTGGCCCAGTGGGCTGCCTGTTAGCACTACACTTTCTGTACTAGTAGCTGTTCCTGCTCCCCTTTGCCTGCTGATTGGGGACATAGGACGTACCTAGGCTATGCGTGCAAACTTCCTGGTTCCTGTCCTCAATGCCTTGGTCCCATTCATAGGCAGAGACGCCTGCTGAGGGAGCTATAGAGACCAAATCCAGCTGTAGAGCCATTTGAGGCCGAGCAGGAGATGGGGCCCAAGGCAGAAGCTCTGGGTTGTGCTGGCCTTCCCTGCTCTTCTAGACTCTGGGAACCTGGCTGCATCTGGCAGCCACTGGCAACCTCCTCCATCGAGTGCTGTGTGTGACGTTCAGTGGACAGCCAGCCCCATGTGACCCTCCAGCGCTGCGTGTGACGTTCAGTGGACAGCCCCACGTACCAGACCCTGCATTTGAGGCCATCATGGAGGCAAGGAAGGCACTGCTTGTGCCCAGTCCCCACAGAGCAAGGGCCACACGGCTGCAGGGTGTGGCTGAGGCTGAAGCCCTACTGTCTGATGTAGCTTTTACAGAGGGACATGGAAGCAGGACTTCAAAAATCTCAGGGCATGGCGTCAGGAGAAGTGATGTGATGAATAGTCGGAATTCTAGAAGAAGCCAGAGCTCACCAGCAGGTGTCCTCCCTGAGCTCAGTTTACTCATCTATTAAATGGGAACACATCTAAGAACAGAACAGTAGGCTCTGTTCATCAAGCCAGGAGAAGTCTGCTGTGGAGTGAAGAGGTTAGAGGTGTAAAGGTCACTCTTAGCTTTAGAAGACAGGCTCTGGGGCTGGAGAGATGGCTCAGCGGTTGAGGGCACTGTCTGCTTCTCCAGAGAGACCCTGGGTTCAATTCCCAACACCCACATGGCAGCTCACAACTTTCTAACTCCAGCTCCAGGGGATCTGACATTCACACAACTGACACATGCAGGCACAACACCAATGAACATTAAAAATAATTAAAAAGGCAGGTCTGAGTCCACATCCCTCAGGTTCCCCATATGTGGACTGGAGCTGGGCTAGACTTGGGCAGAGGAACAGAACACCTGTGAAATGAGTAAGAGAGTGAATGAACAAACGAATGAATGAATGAATGAATGAATGACAGTCACTCTGTGCTCTCTGCACGTCACGGGAGCAGACGGTGCAATCACAGGGTGTGAATTATGTCTGTCACTCCCCATCTGGGGAAGGAGCTACTGCCATCACACTGGGAGATGCTTGGGCCCCAGGCCTTCCTGAGGGGATCTCATGGACCTCGGGGCTTATCTTCTGCAAAAGGGGCTGGAGAGTGAGGAAGGTGATTTACTGAAAGCTGAAACTGTCTTCTCAACAGTCATCCCAGCAAGAAGAGAGCAGCAGGAGTTCACCAAGTCCAGAGACTGA